ATTTGTACTTCGTTACTTCCCATCTCTGCAAGTTACTGAAGTTATCTGAAACATGTGACTGAGCTACATGCTTAACTAAAGTTTTGATAGACCTTGGAGGATGCACCTGCTGAAATTGAACACACCCTGTGACAGTAATTCTCAATCTGCATGTTCTCACTGCCAGGCACCTGACGTATATAACTGCATAATTAACATACTTCTGAAGGCTTTTATGGAAGACAGAAAGATATTTGCATCAGGCATGCAGCACCAGAGAGCCATCTAAAATATGCAGTGCTATAATGCTTGAGGAACAGGTTTGAGAATTACTGGTTTAAGGCGTCACAGGTGTCTGCACATTTAGGAACTCCAAGACAGAAGTCCACCATATTGTACAAACAGGAAGTTTTTTAGATCTTAAAATGTTTAAGTGTATTTATAGGGCGACAGTGGCGTTGGATGTAGGAGTTTACCCTGAAATCGAAGGATTGACCGTTCAAGCCCTGGCATTTTCTGGATGGTGCTTTGCGTCATCACCGGAATCAAACCTTCCTTTATCCCCATCCAAGCTGGACTAAAAGTCTGTCTTTTATTTTTTTGTTTTGCATACAGCTAATCAACACAAACCAAATAACAGCCTCTTTGGCAGCTAAAATAGCTTTTTTATTTTATTTTTTTAAGAGACTTCCTAATCTTCTTGGTATACCTTATTAATTACTAAATAGATTTTTCTAGATGACAAAGTCAAAAAGACTTCTTTCTCCACTCCATTGTTCAACATTAGCTGCAATTAAACTTTAGATAGATGTTCACTGCAGTTATGACTAATAAACTTTATTGGAAAAGGAAATGCAGTTAACAGCGTAAGCATCTAAAGCAGGTACTTCTGCAGGAGGAGACAGCAGGTTAGTGACCACGTCTTTCTGGGAGAGGATGACAACGGATGTTTAAGTCACTAACTTGGTCTTATAGTTCAGCCCAAGCCCAGAAGGTGAGGTTGGTTTCAGCCGGTCGGCTGCTAACAAAATGCAGAAGTTGTATTAAATCCCAATTGATAAACTATTCACTTTTAAGAAAAGAAAAAAAAAAAAAAAAACTTTGTCAAAAGCCTGAATGTCAAAGGTGTAAAACATGATTTCACGTCTTCTGAATCTGGAAAAAAAAAGGCTGATCAGTTGTCACAAGTATATTAGCTGTTCACAAAAACATTAACATAAACCTGTGGCCTATTTGCCACAAGTTGACAAAAACCCCTGTGATTTTACCACTTCAACTCCACTCTATTAGGGCCTGCAATTAATTACCAATTTTTTACAGAGCAAATTACGAAAATTAGAGAATTAATTTGCTCATTTCTACTGCGCCTAACAATGATGCTATGCCCCAACATAACAAAGGCAGAGAAATGGCTGTATTTTACAAACTAAAATGTTTTTTTATTTTTTTAAACTAAGCTCATCCTGCTGTCTTGATATAATTTCTAGAACCTTCCTTAAGAAAGTTCTGCCGGTCATTGACCTGATTCTAATAGCAAGCTCATCCCTCTCGTCAGGTGTTTTCTCCCTGACTCTAAAAACAGCAGTTAACAACCCACTGCTAAAAAAAAAATAAAACCTGGATAAATCACAACTGAAATATTACAGACTAATTCCTCCCAGTCATCAGAAAGATTTTTGAAAAAAACAATTTTTCAAAAGTTAAATAACTTCTTGAGAATGACAAGCTGCTTTGTTATTATTTGAACCCTGCTTCCCAGATCAACAACACACTGCAGCTGACCTATTCAAACTATTCTTCATTAACCACACAAAGACAGATTATTGAAGAACCACAGTGCCGGTTCTGTTGGACATCAGCAACAGAAGAATGGGGTCGTACTCTTAGAAACAGTACTGAACTGGTTCATCTCCTACCTAAAGGACAGGAGCTTCATAGTCACAACAGGGGACTTATTTTTAGAGCAGAAAGGAGCCACATGTGATTGAACACCAAGGTTCAATCCAAGGACCTCTTCTATTTAATATCAAGTTGCTACCACTATTCCCCGGTTATACTGTAAGTAATATGATGAGTTATTATAATTTTATATCACATTATCTCCAGGTGGCTCTAAACCTATCCAACCACTCAACAGATCCTTAGAACAAATGAAACCCAGAACTTTCTCTTGCTGACCAAAAACCAAACTGAAGTTTGGACCTCAATAGGAAAGCTCAAGAATCATAATACATCACAAGTTGTCAGAAGATTGTAATGTTTTTAATGTCATGTAGAGGAGTTACTCAACAACACTGGTGCTCAATCTTCAGGTATTTATATTTAGGCAAATCCGTAAATGCTCCATTCACCCCTTACATATAAACGCTTATTATGAGGGAGGGACAACAAAATTAATATCAAGAAGGTAACTTCTGGTTAAAAGTTTTTATTTAGAAAGGTGTCGGGTCAAAACAAAAATAGAATATCAACAAAGGGAAAAGCTTCTTGAAAGCTCTCTACGAAACAACCAGCCATAAATAAAACACTAGTGGCTTAAATATTCATAAAAATAAAATCTCCAGAACAGTAACCGTAAAATATATTCAGAATACAACTTATATACACCCAGCACAGAAAGGATTAATTATTGCTTACTCAACATATTAGTCTGGAAAGGACTGTACAGAGCCCAATTTCCAGTCAGGGACCGGAATGGTACTAACAGGGCTGGAAGAAACAGGTGAGAACCAATCAGATAACTACAGATATGATAATAAAACATCTTTAAGAAAAAAAAAACACTAATAAGCTGCTACAGCAGCCAGTTGTTGGAATGTTGGAAGTATACAGCATTGAGTTAAATTGGGACATTTTAAAGGGCCTCATTTAAACAAGTTAGTCAAAAATCAAGGTTTTCATTTTTGACATGACATTATTAAGAAACTATCATAACTATCATAACCAGAGTTATTTCATTTTTACTCAGCTGAAGGTAATGAGGTACTCCGGGTAGGCCTGGTCATCATGGAAGATAACAAAAATGGAGGGGTTCTCCAGGTTATTTACCAAGCTGTCAAAGCAGTCAGTAGCTTCTGTTCCTCGACGAGGGAGGGTTTTCATTGAGGGATTACCAACTGTGTAGCGGCCAGTAAGAACACGAGCAACATACAGACGTTTTAGGCCTGATGTGTCTGGGAGGGAGTAAGTGTTGGCTGAGTAATTTGCGTCGACAGCAAAGTATACCCCCTTTCCATAGAGAGTAGCTGTTAAAAAAAGCGGAATGTTAAAAAATCTACTTAAAGCCGATTGTGTTTTGTCATTTTACACGTCTTTATGATCAAAGGAAAAATCCTTATTTTTCAAGGCTTACCATGTTTTCCTGCATAGCTTCTGTCAAATCGATCTCGTTCAATGGAGTTGCATGATGCCACAGATGTGCCATGGTAGAGGAACTTTTCACCCAGTTCTTCTTCTCCATTCTTAGAGAGTATACGGTACCGACAGATGGTAAAGGCATGCCACAGGTAGAGATTCTGTATTCGCTCAATCTGAGCCAAAAAAAAAAAAGTAACCATAAGTCATATCTTGTTTTTGTTGTCTTAGTTTTCTGATTTCTGTTGTGTGCGTGGCTATGTCTTTGTTACCTGGTGGGGACAATTTGTCAGATATATGTTACATTGTTGGGATTTAAAGAGAAATGTTCTCTTCTTCGGGTGACCTTTAGGTTTAGGACTAAAGTATAATTTTAGTTTCCGTTAGGTTTAGGGTTAGATAAGATGTTAGTAATGGCTAGGTATAGGGTAAGCATTAAACCATGGAAATGAAAGTTAAATGTATCTAAGTCAATAGCAAGTCCCCACAAGGATAGTATGACAAAACATGTGTGTTTATGTGTAACCAAACTTACTTTGTGGATGTTGTAGTTGTTAGCTTTACAGAAACCCACGGCCACTTCCTGATACTCAGGAGAATCAGGCTGTAACTCAACTTTCTTAAAGTCTTCTCCCTTCATTGGTTCCCAGTGTGCCGGTAATTCCAATGCCAAAGTTGAAGCCACACAACCTGGCTCAGAATAGGGCAATATTCCTGTTTGGTGTTCTGTTGATTGAGTCATTGAGATTCCCAAATACATTTCCAGTATTTTCTTCATTGGTCCTTTTCTGTCCCCTACAATAGGAGATATAAAATGCCGTGGATTGTGGAAACATTTTTAAAATTTCTTTTTAAATAGAAGCATCGTATCCCAAGTTCCCTAACCCGCTACTTGAATAGATTTTTTTACAAAGCATTATCTGTGCTCTTTTTTATACATCCATTTAGTTATTCAGTTGTTACAGCTTCTCTCTTTTTTTTTTTTTTTAAAGAAGTTTAGAACCACCAGGATTCTTTCTTAACCTGACCTCCCATTTAAACTAAACAATTAATAAATGACAAGAGGGCTATCCAAATCATGTAAGTATCTGGTGTGCAGGAGGGTTGAACATTCAACAATATTTTATGAATTGAGAGTGAGACTACCCTGATATTTCACACAGCAAAGCTTGACACCATTTTGGCAAAGATAGAGTCCCATACAGGGCTGAAATCTGAAGGGAAGCCTCAATAATTTAAGTCTGGAATATACACTTAGACTTGGTATAGATGTTCCATAATTCACATCCATGCTCAAGACTGTGGCCGACTCTTGGCCAACATAATTCAAACCTTAAAAACTGTGTTTCTACTGATCCTTTGTGTCAGTCGCTCAAGTAAAAAGCGATGCAGCATTAGTGTTTGTAAAGTTGGACAAGGAAGTTTAGGGGTTTCTTTGGGATGAATTATCAATCACAATTTCAATATTTGGGAGCTGATGAATAGATAGACGTTTCTTTCTTTTAAAGTCATAGCAAAGCACTGTAAATAACCTTTTCAAATCAATATTGTAACACATACAATGACCTAATTTTGTGATTTAAGGATACTTTGTAATTTTATCATTGCTGATTTTTTATACTGTACTTATAACCTGATAGGAAGTTAAATTCATATCAAAATTATTTACTAAAGAAAAAGTAAAGCAAACCTTTTAGATTGAAGCAGCTTTGAACATCCTGTAGACAGCGACTCTCCAGCTCTGATCTGTCGAACAACACAACATCACATTATCAAAAAATGCATCATTATTAGCAGGACATCACAGTATGATGACTGTTGAGTAAACTTCTAACCTGAAAGCCTGATAGACGGGTTGTTGCAGGATGACAATGCGGATCAGTGAGAGAGAATTAGGATTTATGTCCTTAATAGCTGAAGCCATACCATCCAGCATTGCTTTACAAGATTCCACAAAGTCCATACCAGCCTGTCCTGGAGGCGTGAATAGACAGATATAAATTCAAATGCTAAAGTAATTTTTTAATACATGATACAAATTGGTCTCATTGTTTGTTTGTCTTTTTGCACGATAATGCTACATGCATGCTCTATAAAGTTATTATTAAGTTAAACCCTAATGTTTTTTTTTTATTGTTTTCACCGTACAAATTAACTACTATAAGCAAGTAAGGATTTAATAAAACGGACTGATTAAACCAATCACACAAACCTGTATTGATAGCTGGGAAAGCCACTGAGCTGAATCCTTTGCCTTCACAGAGCTTAAGGATCTTTTGGCAAGTGTTGCGGATCCTCCGAGTTTGACGCTTGAACCTGGCATGAATTATTTCTTTGCACCCAAGCTTCCCAGCTGCTGTTGTGCAAATCAAGTCTTCTGGAATACCCACTAAAAACAAATAAGAGAGACTAACTTAATATATACATGTACATTGTTGCGGCTGCAGTGGGTCTCTGTATTTTTCCTTGTAGAGTTTAGGAGACAAGCCCTCTGCAGGTGTTATGATTGTCCTGATTTGTGTTCTGATACTTTAAAGCTGCTATGCTTTTTTCCTCTCCCTCCTCAGAACCCCATTTGGTTTGGTTTATATCTTAGGGTTTGTTTTTGTTAGGTTTGTTTTTCATTTTCTTATTTCTTCCTCTTTTTTTTTCATTTGCTTAATTCTGGTTATTTTTGTTTTTGCATTAGTCTATTTTTGGTTTCTCATTTCAGGTACTCTTTTTATAATATATAATTTTCTAAATTAAATTTTCATTTAATCCTTGTGTGGTCTCCTTTAATGTTACCCTGCTAAACAAGCCTATTGGACCGACCGACCGACCGACCTACCTACCTACCTACCTACCTACCTACCTACCTACCTACCTACCTACCTATCTATCTATATATATATATATATATATGTGTGTGTCAAAAATTACTATTTTAAAAGCAGAAGTGGGCTTTTTCTGTAAGTTATTATCTATTAAGTGGATACAAAGTCTGAAGTGGATTTGTGGTTGCATTTAAAAGATGTTGGTGTTACAGAAAACATGAGGTTGAGAGAGCTCTACAAAAGGAAGAAAAACAAACAAAAAAATAACATCTCAGAGTTTGGAGTGACTAAATTTACATCCCGAAAAAGAATGAAAAGCCGGTTTTCTCAATAATGCTAAAGGTCCTTGATTTCCAAAGAAGATAACAGAATTTCCATGTTGAAGAGAAACTTGTTCACAACAGCCAACCAAGTGAACAACCCTCTGCAGGGAGTAGGCTGATCCACATCGAAGTCTACCATTGAAAGAATACTGCTTAGAGGCACATATCGAGGATTCAATACAATATGCAAGCCTCTTCTAAAATTCTAATTAGAAATTTTAGATTGGACATTACAAAAAAATAAAATAAAAACTCTACAAAAGCCAGGACAGTTCTGAGAAACAAATCCTCCTTTGGATAGATAACAACAAGACAAACCTCTACCAAAATAATGGCCAAAGAAAGCATGGAGAAGCCATGGAAAAGCTCATGGACCCAAGTATAATATTATTCCCTTACTATGGTTTCAACCAATATAAAATTCTATTTAAATTTGGAATACAAATTGTATTTTTAATTTTAGTGTCTAAAATGTAGGAATTGACTTTAAAAAACTTTTTATTTTCATGATATTTTAATGTATCTTGTTGTTTTACCCACTAGGACGAAACTGGAACTTTGCACTGCAACTGCATTAAAGCACTTTCTTTTTTATACACTTAAAATTAAAAGGTTTTTAATATACAAAAACCAAAAATGAAAGAAAATA